GGTTGGCTGCTGCCAAACTACTGTCTGAACATGATCTTAGTGTTTTGGTTTTAGAAGCAAGGGACAGAGTTGGAGGAAGAACATACACTGTAAGGGTAAGTGATTTTACTGTTTATATGCAATGTCTCACTCAAAGCTAGAGTAGGGCCCCTGGAAGTCACAGCCCTGGATATTGTAAGCATTCAAGCAGTTAAGCCATTTGTTCTCCATAACCCTAATGTATGCCATCAAGTAAATGATTATTCTCTTCAATAAGTGTTCACTGAAGAGAGGCAGCCTCTGATCGTCAGTTGCTTACATTCTAGTGAAAACAACAAATGTGAACAAAAACCTTCAATATGGTGTCATTATTTCTGAGGTAGAGACCTAAGTCAAATGAATATATGGTTGAGGGTTATGCCTGGGCTATATTGGAAGTGATTGTATACACCCAACATGCACATATGCACATATGTATAATACACATTTGCTGTAAGTTCCTTATTCATTTACCCAACAATATATGGCTTGAAAAAAGTGGCCACGGGAATCAGGAGCAAATATAACATATGTTCATGCAAGATTCCTGTGTCCGTTTTGCTCAGGTCAGGTATCACTCAATATGAGAAGGAAGTGAATCCTTGCTGCATCATTGCTTTGTTATACTTGGGTTTACGTCACAATTCTGGAAAAATTTATGCCAATTATCCTTTACTATTAATGTGTTTGCAGGTGACTCTTTGGGAGCTGATGAAAGTACATAGGAAGAGGTTGTAGGGTGGGAAGGAAATAGGGCCAAAGATGAAAGTTTGGGAAGTATGCAGATGAAAAGGAGACAGAGGCAGAAGGAGCCAGAGAGAAGCCATAGAGGCAGAGAAGGAGGACCAAAGTAGAGCACTGCTATGCCAGTCAGTGGAAGAAAGGAAGAGTCAAATGGCACAGGACAAAGGCAGAAAAGACACCCTGTGTTCAGTAGTTAGAAAGTCATTAAGGAGACCCTTTGATAGAGCACACAGAAAGAATGACAAAGGCCGAGGACTGTAAAGAAAAGTCCAGACAATTGAAGTGACTGGAAGGAGAGAAAACAGCTATATAAGATATTTTGGTTAGAGTAGTAACAGAATAGCCTAGGCAATGATAATAACAATGGCATAGTCCATTTGCTCATTAGAAAATTTCACAGAAAAAATCTGGTGGTAGATAGTCCAGGCTGGTGCAGGGATTCAGCTTTGTCCTCAAGGTTTTAGGCTCTTGCTATCTTGCATGTTGGCTTATTGCTTTCTGTTAATAAGATAAATGCTGTTATTCTGAGGATCCAGTCTTCATTGAAGGCAGGAAGGAGAATGAAGGAACAGCATCAACCTTATTTGTGACAAAGATTTCCTTTACCAGAAAAATCTGGTAGACATTTGCTTTTGTCCCATTGGACCTACTTGAGTCAAATACTACCCTAAACTGGAAGGGACTCTGGGAAAGCAAATATTTAACATTTCTAGGCTGCAGAGTAGGAGCAGGCACAGGAAAAAGAATCTGATATTGCAGTAGCCAACCAACAACACCTAAACTAGTAAAATATACTAGCTCTTTCAGTCACACCATGCTATGCACTCTCTCATTTGCATCCTACCTTGTCAGATATATGAGGTCTTAAGCCTATTTCCACTTTGCTCAGCTCTAAGAGTATTCTACAGCTGTGTTACTCAAAGTATAATCTGTGCACCTATAGCCTTAGAAACACCTGGGAACTTGATAGAAATGCAGAATGCTGATGCTATCCCAGACAGGCTGAATTTGAATTTGCAGTTTAACAAGAGAAGAAACAGAAATGTTACTTTGTGATGTATGCATTTCTGCTTGCTTTAATTTAATATCAATTCAGATTAAATTTATTCAGGTAATTTCTGTGTGCTTTCTTAGATGTATTCTGCTGCTGGTCTGGGAGTGAGGAGACTGGTATTCTAACCCCTGTACTGGCCTGACACGCTATCTTGGATAAGTGCTCTTAGCACTTTACATCCCAGTTCTCATTTGGGTAGTAAGATACAGCCAAAATGCCCTCCAAGAAACTCTCTCCATTCAAATTCCAATTGAAAGCACTGTACACAAGAAGGGTTGCATGGCCCACTTATATGCCTTTAGTAGATTTGATTCTTATGTTATTTTCTAAAAATTTTCAGAAATATTTATCCCTTCATTTTGGACATAGTTATTAAGTTGTTCTTTAGCTGTACTCTTCTTATCTCTAAAATCTTTTGCTCATTCAATGGGAGCATCAGTCATTGTGCAGATTTTCAGTTAAGAACAAATTTTTTTGTATAAGGGAAATTAGAATTCCATCATGCTTATCCTAATCTATGTTATTGGCCTAGGCTGTTTAGCTATGCTGCATCATTTATATATGTCAGCACCAAGTAGGAACCATTACTTGCTGCATCATTTATATATGTCAGCACCAGATAGGAACCATTACTAGTTAGTGTGTATTCATCATTATATTAAACACTCCTTAGGTATTTGAGAAAGGGATCATAGAATGAGCACTTAGCATTTATATTTCAAGTGAGTAGAAGGAGAAAAAGAAAGCTTTCATAAGAAACAAAAGTAACATTAGTAGGAAGCTACATTAGTCAGCTTTTCTATTACTGGAATAGAACACCTTGACACCCACAACTTAAGGAGAACAGCTTTATTTTGGCTTGTATCATGAGAGGGTCTATTCCATAATAGGCTGACTCCAAGGCATAAAAAGCATGGTGGAAAGGCCTGGCATAGGAAAGCTACTCAACCCATGGCAGCCAGCCAGGAAGCAGAAGGCAAGGGGAAAGAGCTAGAGACAGGATACACCCTTCCTTCCAGGTCACAACCGCAATGTCCCATCTCTTCCAACCAGGCCCCACCTTCTAACAGTATATTCAACTATGAACTTATCAGTGGATTAGGGAATCTACTGATGTGTGTAGTACCCCTATAATCCAGTCATCTTCCAAAAGCCCCACCTCTGAACACATGAGACTGGGGTGGGGGTACATTTTAGACCTAAACCGTGACAGAATTGTAATCAAATATCATTGGAGGTACTTCTAGCAGCATAATTAATTAGAATAACTTTTGGAGGATATCCACGAAAGCTATTCTGGATATTTAAATACAAAAATGTCAAATTTGGTATTGTCGCCGGACAGCTGTTCAGATGGATTTTCCATTAGTTCACAACTCCCCAATTTTTCCTAATGTGATCCATCCATAATGCTTCAGATTCAAATTAATAAAGTCAAAATGTCCACAGGACCACCACAAAGTTGGTATATTTGTTTCCTAATATACTTGCATGTCTGTGGACTTTTTGAAAACTGAGTAATGAGATCTAAATAAAGGCCCTAAAGAATGAGGAACAGCATAGCAGTCTTATGCTTCTAGTATCTTTACACTGAATCTGAGGTACCTCATTTAGAATATTTCTGCTTTGAAAAGAAATAATCTGTGTAATCCTTCACTGTTTTTACTGCAACCTCCTGTCAATTTTCTAAATACATCATGCTTAGGAACTCCTCTTGCTCAGCTGGGTGTGGTGGCGCACAACTGTAATCTCAGCACTTGGGAGGCTGAGGCAGGAGGATTGCTGTGAGTTCGAGACCAGCCTGGACTACATAGTGAATTCCAGGTCAGTCTCAACTACGTAGTGAAACCCTGTCTCAAAAAACAAAACAAAAACAAAACAAAAAAAGAGTCCTCTTGCATTCTTTGTTAGAAAGCCTAGAAATTTATCAGAGAACTGGCTCCAATTTTGCTCTTCAATCTTAAAACGCATGTTATAGATTAGAGGATGTTTGGTACCGGGGATCAAACTCAGGACCTTGTGCTTGTGAGGCAGGCCGCGGCACCACTGAGCTAAATCCCCAGCTGTTAGAGGATGTTTGGAGGATAATATTGATGATTAATAAAAGAGAACATAAGGATTATGATGGACAGGTTAAAGAAATCAAAGAACTTCATTCCTGCTATTATGGAAGAACAGAAACCCTGAATAACTATCCCCATTGAAATAAGTAAACTCCTGATTAAATAGACTATACTGAACTGACAGAGAAGTTAGAAATTTGTAGATCTTCTAGACGTTGAAAAGACATCTTAAACTCATCCATCTCAAACTGAACTTTTGGTCTTCCTCACTGTTACCACTACTTCAGCAGCCTGCCCCAGATTAGAAGATGGCAACCCCTAAAACATTTGGTATCATGCTTAGCACAAGACCCATGTTCTTTCTGTCAGGAAATTCTGTTGGCTTTGTCTTCAAAACATATAATTCTGTACTTCTCACAACTTCTAGTGCTACCTCCTGTTGGGAGCCACATTCATCTATAGGCCAAATTACTGCAGTATCCTCCTGATTTCCCTATTTCCATACTTAATCCCTATAATCTATTCTTTTTTCAGTAGCAGCAGCAATAGCAAGACTGAGCTTTTCAAATCTATGTCAGACTTTAAAACTTACCTGTTAAATACCTTCCAGAGGCTCCCCTTCTCACTCACAGTAAAAACTAGTGTCCTCACAATGCCCTGTGAATTTTTTCCTGACCTTCCCCCTGGCCCCCATGGCCTCTCTAAACTTATCTCTGATTCTCTTTTCCTTGCTCACTTTGTAGTAGCTACATTGGCCTCATTGCTGTTTCTTGGGCATGCCAGGTTTACTTCTGCCTTATTCTTTGCATTGGCTCTTCCTTCTGCCAGGAGTACTCATTTTCCAGAGTGGGTAAACTATTAAAATACAGAAATTTCACAAATTGCACTGTGTGCACATTTACACACACACACACACACATGCACACGCACGCACGCACATGCACACACCATGTCTTCAAAGCATCAGAGAACCGGAAAGATAAGGTAGTGAAGAATCATTGAGTCAGTATCCAGAAAGGATTAACCTATCTTTCTTTGGTGGTAGGAGGCTGCTGACCATTGAAGAAGCTGCTGAGAGGCTGAGCAGCATTCGTAATAGTCTTGCAATGCTAGGCTGATAGAAGGTCAAATCCATAGCCTGGCAAAGTCTGTGAATGCGAGGAGATTTTGGTCAACTCCCTGATTTGGGCTGGGTTGCATTTTAAGATTAACAGTGAACTGTAAGAGGGCTCAGCCACATGTATATTTTACCCCAGCTTCAAATTCTCAGGTACTGTAAAGGAATAAAGTTATCCATTAGTAGTGTCGTTAGTGTCCCAGGTGCTAGGCAGAGTCAAACAAATTTTTCTCTGAGAAAGATATCTCCTAGGATCCAAATTATTTCTGCATTTTTCAAGTACAATGAGTTCTGCACAATAAAAAAAAATCAAGTAAGGAGAAAAGGCAGCATGCACACACAAGAATTGATATAAATAGAAATAGACTCATTATAAGCTGGATGTGATGGCACATGCCTGTAATACCAGTACTCTGGGAGGGTGCAATGAGAGGAATTCAAGTATGAACCTAGCTTGGGTAATTTAGCTACTTAGTGAGACCTTGTCTCAAAATAAAAAATAGAATAAAAATTTAGGTATATCCCCTTCTTAAACATAGTTCTCAACTTTTTTCTTCTTTTCTATTAAACACATTTAATTAAATATGGCGAGGCACAACTCTTCCACATTTTGGTAGTAACTTTTTATTTATTTTTGTTGTACTAGGGTTTGAACCCAGGGTCTTCACACTGAGCGACATCCCTAACACTTGATAACTGATAATGTGAAATAGGAAAAAAAAAGGGCTAAAGGTATAGGGGAAGTGGGAAGGGCAGGGGAAAGGAAATAAGGGAAAAGAAAAAATATGAGAAAAGGAAATAAAGTCTTTATAAATAGGAAAGGGGGCGGTGAAGGGAGGGCAGAGGTATGGGGAGAAAATGAGAACCAAGACCGGGCATGTAAAGGTACAAGATCCCAATGATAAATGTAACTGTACTGTATACTTAAAAAGTACCAATAAACTCAATAGGGAAAAAATAAAAATAAAAATTTCAAGAGCCCATCAGTGCATGGTGATTTAAATTTTTATGTGATTGGGCTGGGGATTTAGCCCAGAGGTTCTGTCACCTGCCTTGCAAGCACAAAGTTCGATCCCTGGTACCAAAACAAAACAAAAATAACAACAAAAAACAAAACAAAACAAATTTTATGTGATGGAAATCAGGGAATTAGGCCCAATAAATTTCTGGGTGGCTTCTCCAGCAATAACTCCAGAGGGAAAAAAATCATATATAATAATATAAATGTTGCAAAGGATCTAGACCAGCAGGATATACTACAGTGCTTTTTATTCTTTATGTATCCTATTGCTGAGTTGGTCTCACTAATAGCTCTGCAAATGGAAGTGATTAGTGAAGTGTCAGTCGGTGTTGTGCCCCCGTTATTGAGGGGAGAAAAAATTGATGTTTTCAGTTGCACTTGATAAGGAAGATATGACACAGTTAAGTTTGCAAAATAGGGTATATTTTTATAGGACATGCAGACATTTTGTTTCCAACTTTCAACTAGTCTTCTAACCATTTTTTCTCTTTCCAGAATGAACAGGTTAATTGGGTAGATGTTGGTGGAGCCTATGTGGGACCGACCCAGAACAGAATCTTACGCTTATCTAAGGAGCTGGGCCTCGAGACTTACAAAGTGAACATCAATGAGCGTCTTGTTCAGTATGTCAAGGTAAGCCTGACTTTTTACCCAGCTGACTGGTGTGGAAGTGTTTTATTTGAGAAAGCATTTGCTTTGTTTTTAGTTATTGTGTTTTTCTGAAAGCAATCACAAAAACAATTTCTTGGCTTTAAAGTAGTATTCCACCTTTATTTTCTTGATTAAAAAGAAATTCTAAGGACTCCTAGAATCTGTGGAGGATCTTATATCACTTGATCCTCCTGTCTTTTGCCCACTATGGTTTTCACTATTTGTACCCCCACTTCCCTTCTTAATGCATTTGCAGCACACAGGGGCTGGAGGTTCCTGCTGTGCATACACACACACACACATACACCCCTCCACACACCTCCCTAGCCCCAGGCAACCTGAGTCACCTATGAGAAAACACTAAGCTTCCAAAGAACACTTCTCTAGCCTTTGAACTGGTTCTTCCTTTTCATTCTCATCAGCATTTTCTTTGAACACTTTGATCATTTCCTCTGTACCTGGCTTTGATTGTTGAGTTTAGTTCAGTTGTGCATTTTTCTACTATTTAAACAAGAGATTGTTTAAACTGGAGCTGCTCATATCCATCTAAGAAATAACAGCTGTTACCACTGTTATTCTTTCTCATGGAAGCCAAACATGGAGTGGCTAGAGTCTGGAAACCTGCTTTAAGAAATTAAGTTTCCTGTCTGTCATTGCAGTCCATTTCCTGGAACTAGTGTCACTAAGGCAGAGGCCATTTACTCATTGTAATGGCAGGATTCACATGCCAGTAACCACAACACTTCAACAAAAACATCTCCCACTGATTCTACTGAAGGCAGCCACTGTAGGTCTGGAAGCTACAGGGATTTTTGGAATATCCTAAGTGTTAAGGATACTTGTGATGTATGTATACTGATACAATCAAGAATCTTGGCAAACTGATAGCCATATTATTCTCGATGCTTGGGAAAGTGGTGGTTTGACACATATAAAAGCAAACCTGTAACCTTTAGAAAAACTATGGGTAGAGGTTAAAGGAGAAATGAGGAAAGTATAAAAATTAACTGGGCATATTCCCAGTATTCTAGGAGGTTAAGGCACAGAGAATCACAAGTTTTAGCCTAGCTTTGGGCAATTTAGCAATTTAGCTGAGACCTTGTCCCAGGATGAGGTAGAATAGGGTAGGATAGGGTAGGGTAGTAGGATAGGATAATATAGAATAGGATAGCATGGGATAGCATAGCATAGCATAGGATAACACTGCCTAGAATAGGATAGGATAGCGTAGCATAGCATAGGACAGGATAGCATAGCATAGCATAGCATAGCATAGCATAGCATAGCATAGCATAGAAGGGCTGGGGATATAGCTCAGTGGGAAGGCTCTGAGTTCAGTCCCCAGTACCTCAGAAAAAAAAGTGGCTACTTGGGATTATATCTCGGTACAACACTTGCTTAGTATACATAAAGCTCTGAGATGGATCCCTAGCACTGCAAAAAAAAATATATACAAAGTATTTAGGAATGTTGTCTTTCTTGTGCAATGATCAAAAAGGAAAAATCACTTTGCTTTCCCATTTCTCCTTTCTACACAGCATAGTGTTTCCTTAGGCTAATAAGGAATAACAACAGTAAGAATAATAGCAGCTAACATTTAAATCTTTTAATATTTTCATATTTAATTTGAGGAGGAAGACAAAATCCTTTGCAATCAACTTCTAATTAAATGGTCATAGAAATTCGCTTTCCACTCCAACTGGGAAGCAGATGAATATGATAATTATCCTGGAATCTGAGCAGACCCATGCTTATAATCAATTTGTCCCCTGAAAATCAGGCTTTATTTTACCTGAAAGCTAACAATAAACAGCAATTAAACACTATCATGCATGAATTCATTAAATTCTTACTTCTACCCCACTAGGCTGACAGGATTACTCCTGTGTATAGATGAGAAAACTGAGGTTCAAAGAGGTAAACTGACGTGGAAAGCCTCTAAAATTGGTAACAATCTACTAACTCCTGAATGTGTGTTCTTCATGGTCCCAGTACATTGTCTGTGAAATGAAATTGTATGTCCTGAACACAGGCATACTGGATCTTCAGTGTTTGACCAGACACATATCTATTTTAAGGTATCCCACTATTAATTTCACTGAAGCCCAGCTCATACAATGACTTTCTTACTCTTCTTCCAACTCTGTTTTTTATGCATATTTTGAAAACTGGAAAAACTGGAAATGTGTAGTATGACCTGCTAGTGTCCCAACTATGCTCATTCTAAAACATGATGCTAAGGTGAAAGGGACATATATAGCTAGCTTTGGCAAGTATTTCAACTCCTCCTTATTCTCAATAGAGGCAAGGTGGGATTAAAATGATGAAGTGCTATTTGAGAATTTTGACTTTGCCTGAAATTTATCGAAAGAGATCATGGTATCTTGTCCAACTTCCCTGACAGGATCTTATGATCTTATCTTAATTTTCATTAGTTAAGTACTTTTCTTTCTGATATCTGGAATTTTCTGGGCTTCATGAAGAACCCTGCTTTCTAGAAATTCAGGTGTGAACATTTTGGACTTTGAGAGGGGCTTGCTTCCAGCTTTTGTAAGAAATGAGCTTGCAGAAAATCTTAAGAAAGTATAGTACTATGTACTACATTAGGTGCCTAAGTTAAGGAAAGAGAAATGTTAAGAGCAGTATCTAGGATTACTTTCTTTGCTGCTGCTGTGTCTTTTGCTAAGTTAGGACTATACCATCCTTGATAGTCCTCTTTCTAAGAAAAACCACAATTTCACCTTTCTGAAGGTAGTAGCTAATCAACTCCTGCCATACTTTTCTCTTATAAAAACACAAATGTGGCTGAGCTGTCACATATAACCTGCTCAGTAAAGGCGTATTGTGGCGTTGGACTTGGTAGCCTGAGGCTCACTGCTATTGCATGATCATGCACATCAACACAGTAGTAATATTAGGTCATAATTATTTTGGGGTTTTTTTTAGATAGGGCCTCACTATGTAGCCCAGGCTAGCCTCGAACTTGCAGTGATCCTTTGCCTCAGCCTACCAAGTGCTGGGATTACCAGCATGGGCTACCATGCCTGACAGGTCATAATTACTGAATATGTAGCATGTAAAAGGTTTGGTTCTAGGATTCATGCTTCACTTGTACTTAAAATAACAACTTTGTGGGGAGGGGTTGAGACAAGGTCTCACTATGTAATTCAAGCTAGCCTTGAACTCACTGTATAGCCCAGGTGTCCTTGAACTCACAGCGATGCCCTAGCCTCAGCCTCTCTAGTTCTGGGATTACAGAAGTGTGGTACCACGCCTAAGTACAAATAATACTTTTAAACTTTTTCCATAGAAGTTGATCCCTTGAAGTCAGTACCACTTTCATAGTAATGATAAGGATAACTCTCCTTTATTGAGTTCCTAGTATGTTCCAGGACCTTTGCCAGAATCATCTTCACCTTCATTATTTTACTTATTCCTGACAAGAATTCTAAGGAAGGGGCCACGGCTCCATATCACAGAACAGGTTTGAAGTTCAGAGGCTAAGTAACCTGCCAAGCACACAAGCGCCACTGAACTAGAAATCAGATTAAGATCTTTCTGTTTTCCATGCTGACTCTTGCTGTCAGATTCCAGTGTCAGGGCCTATGGACTCTATGAAGGAACCTTATAGTTTTGTGTTTGTATTGTGTTTCTCTTCTAAGTGTCATCCTGTGTCCTTCATTGTATCCTCATATGCAGTGTAGGTAATCATTTTGCTTAGTCTTTTGACCTGGCAGCAATATATCTGTTATAATACTTGGTGTAGTAGGTGCTTTTAGGGTGACCAGAAAACTATAAATAAAGGAGATGATATTAAGGAAAAGGAGGAAGGCATTTAGTTCAACATTCCAGATAAGATTGTTAACAAACAGTATAGTGAAAAAAAAATTTTTTTAAAAGGAATATCTCAACTCTCACTATTCTCTTCACTTCTTGGAGGAAATAAAGGATTTTTATAAAATGTTAGTATATTGGGTTGGTAATACAAATTGTCTTTGTGACACTATGTTCTGCCTTGTGACAATTGTAATCTCCATTATCTAATACAGTACATTCTTTTTGGAAAAAAACCACTGAAATGACTGCAGTGGAGATTTTATGAATTTTGGGAATTTAATATGGCTTTATTTGGGAGATTATATATTATCTGTGAAATTAATGTAAATTTTTCATTTCTTTACCTAAAAGGTAAATTTAAACTGAATTCAATTGGATTTCGATTGAATATGTTTCAGTGGATTTCAGCTGGATATTTTTAAAGCATTTTCAGTCAATTATTTTCTTTTGAGTGGTAAGAGAAGCAGCTGAGCCTACTGGATTTATTGTTACTTGCATTAGTAAATAAGATGATTCATCATTAAGTTTGTTCTATACATGAATTTCATTTAGGTGTAGTGACCTTTTGTTAAATTTTGCTGTGCCAAGTCTTGAAGAGTAAGGAGGAAATGCTCAATCCTCTTGAGTTGTTAAGATCATAACATATGTTGGATGAAGAGTGTGAAAAGGAAGAGCCCAGCCAGAGATGGAACAAGGCTTTTTGCAGGAGCTACTTTGAATGGGAAATTAGTGTACTCATGTATTCTTGCTTTTTTGTACTTTTGATATCCTCTCTAAGTACAACTAGAGACTATAAATATGTATCACATTTGTTTTTAGAGAGTTGTGATAAAGATTTATTTAAAACAACAGAGCTTTTCCTGATATGTAGTAATAACTCAGCAAGCATTTTTTTCCCTAGTGTTGGTTCTTTTCTGCCCACAGCCATTTAATCCAGGTTTCTATGCCAACGCCTGAAATAAAAACTTTCAGAATATGTGTATCCTGGAATACTAAGTAAATTTTGTTGTTGCTGAGAAATGAAGTTGGTTTCAGCCAGTAGGTCGACGTTGAAGGTAGAGGATCTGTTTTTTGTTAGTTTGCCCTAAAGCTCACCACATATAACTGTATGTTTGGCCCCTTCCTTAGAAATGTTTCTTTTGAAT